AATATGGACAAAGGCATATGCTATCGCTGCAGTAGCTGAATAAAATGCAGATATTAACTGATGAAGAATGAAGACAATAAACACACGATTGTGACTAAATGGTGTATCTGTGTTCTTCAAGCCATCACGGGTATTTTTTATATTCATAATGTATATTTATAATGCAGTGCTAATCGACATAGCCTTTATCACTGTATAGAATATTATAAAATGATTTTGCCTCATTCTGTGATATGAAACCACGTCAGATCACAAAAGGAAGTTATTTCAAACACTCGACTGATGTTATGAAATGAATTTAGAGCAAAAACGTCATTAAATGTTTTTAACATTGATGTCAAGCACTGATCTGTCTGCACCGCGCCGCTTCAAGTCGAACACACCTTGAAATTTAATTGACAACCTCGCGGCCGTGGGGCCCTCCCCTTAAGGCGGGGCCCTAGACGACCGCCTGTTGGACGGGCCGGCACTGATCATTGGAGAACTTAACCGGCAGAAACGAGCATGCTGAGGAATAGGATGGTACAGAAGGGCCAGGACTGTGAGCAACTGAGGTGGCTTTCTCCTTAAAAAAGAAAGAAAGTCAGAACTGCAAAATTTTGATGGTTGCTCTCCATCCATTGATCCATGCTCTCAGAGTGATCATATGTACCGACCATCAGAGGTGTTTGGGGCTCACAAGGGCAACCCCCTTGCGTCACTACATCGAAATAATGTTGAGTGACTGACAGATAGGGTACATATTTTACTCAGGCTTAGTTGCCACAGCGTTGCTGCACGGCTGCTCTGGTATTGTGGGCGGTTGCTACTTAATTGTTTACAGGCTCAAGTTAAAAGAGTCCACCCGAATAATAGTCTGCCCCCTTAGAGGTATCATTCATGTACAGTATGTAGCACAAGTGGTCCAAGATTAATTGAATACTAAAGATTAGGGTTTTAAATTATATAAGCAAAAGTAATAGTCAGCGTTGGGAAGGTTACTTTGGAAATGTAATAGGTTACAGATTACAAGTTATTCTATTTAAAATGTAATAAGTAGAGTAAATATTTCAATTACTTTATTAATGTAACTGATTACATTTGATTACTTTTCTGAATTTGTAACGAATTACCTGTTTATTCATTTATTATGGTATGTAACTAGCTCACCTTTTGCTGCACCATGTTTGCGTAGCACATCTTCATGCTTTCTGTAATCAATATGAATCTGTAGGCACTTTGGAAATGTAATAGGTTACAGATTACAAGTTATTCTATTTAAAATGTAATAAGTAGAGTAAATATTTCAATTACTTTATTAATGTAACTGATTACATTTGATTACTTTTCTGAATTTGTAACGAATGTTTTCAACTGTCAATAATTTTGAAACATTTCAGGGTTAACATTACAGTAGTATTCAACACTGATTACTGTCGGACTTCTCAAAACCTTCATCACTTGAATTGCAGGTCAGTGCAATTTTTGGAAAGAACTCAATCAAATCTGTATGTGTGTAATAATATTCAGATGTAACCCCCTTTGTAATCGTTAAAATTTTTATAAGTAACTGTAATTTAATTATACATTTTTCCCAGTAACTGTAACAGATTACAATTACATTTTTTTGTAATTAAATGACGTAATTCTGTTACATGTAGCTAGTTAAACATAGTGTATGTAATTAGTAATGTAAATAGTGACACATGCCCTTAACAAACAATACTAATAATGAGCTTCATTCTTATATGTGAAAAATATGCCAGTATATATTTACTGTAGGCTCAAGATGAATTCTTTAAAAAAACAAAAAAAGTCTATTATCTTATGCAGTTTTGTCTCTGTCAAATCTTATATACACAAATACATGCTCACTACCACATTTTCTTTGTTTCAAGGGCAGTGCAACACGCACAGACTGTTTGACCTTAGAAACCAACTGAATTGAACTGGGGTAAAGTCACCGCAGCCTTGGGCTCAGCACGCCAGCTGAACATCACAATAAACAACCAATCATCTCATCCATCAATGAGATACATATCCACGCTTGGGAATGCTTTGAGCTGACATCACCATAAATAACTGATTCTCTTAGCCAGCTGAATAATGCAGAGAGAAGGGAGATTATGTCAGTGTTGCTGCATGAAGTAAATCGGGGACCCCTGTAGCATCGGAGAGAGTGATCTTCGAGCGATATTCTCCAGTTTAATATATTACCCATCGTTCTTTCTACCCTAATGAACGTGCAAGGCCTCATCAGTAAGGCAAATGGAAATTCTATCTTGTGTAGAAGCATACACATGCATAAACATCAACTGCAGGGTTTGTGTGCACACTCTCATGACTGATCATCTTCTGAATAGTACTGATCACAGAGCAACAACAAATTAATTTTCATTAAAAACTTAAAGATGCTTCCTAATATTTAATTTTCTAGGTTATCATTTTATTGTGTCAAGAGAGAAATAAGAGGGATCTGCTACAAATTGCTCTGCCAAAATCATCAAACCATTTTTAATTAGTTATTTTAATTAGGCCATATGAGTTATTTTTGAAAGCATTGTTTCGATCTGTAATCTTCTGCGATTATGCATGTAGGGTGCAGCTAGTCTAACACTTCTTCAACAAATAGGTCATCATTTATTCACCCTCATGCCTTTCTGAATAATTATACTTTTCTTTCCTCTATGAAACACAAAGACGATATTTGATTAACATTTTAGGTGTTTTTTATCCATATGGTAATAGTCAATGGGGTCCAAAAGTTTTAAATTCCAAAATGTGGAGTAAAGTAGCATAAAAGCAATTGACTGGTTTAAGCTGGATTTTCTGAAGTGATGTCACAATGACCTGTTGGATCTGGTAACTTTACTAGATCCCATTGCCGTTTTGTCTTGCATCCAGAATAAGTACATACTGTGTTTTCCGTCTTGACAACTCTCGGAGTGATTGGCATGGTAATATACATGACAAAGTTAATGTATTTGGTCTTGGCGGAATAGATCTGCTACCGAGACTTGCTACTGCCAATACATCCACAACATGCTGCTGTGAGCACGTAAGAAATATTGCTGCTGCAAATATAACATACATTAAATAACCCCCATATAGCATACATGAATCACCTCGTAGCAGATCTATACAGGTGGAGCTGGGGAAGGTGGGGGGTTTCTGTATTTGTCTGATATCCAGGATTGTCAGCCAAGAGGTTGACAGAGGAAGCCGGGAAAGAGTTGACTTTGTCAACTCTGTCTTGAGTAGACTTTGTCTGACCAGCATGAATTTACTCTGCTTCACAACATCTGGAAATGGAGACAAATGGAGACCAGTTCATTGGAAATACTCTAAAACCATAAGTTGAAAGCTACAGCCAATGTAAAATACTTTACATTGTGAGACCTGCGCTTTTAAAAAGACCAGCAGTGCTGGTAACCACTGTATGCTGAATGCTGGTGTGCATCCGAACTAGCTTCCTTAATCAACCAGCTTTTCAAAAGTGGAGACCCATAACAAGTTCTAGATTGCAAAATCAAGATTATCTCTCTCCACAGGGTTTTTTCCGCAGAAGTATCCAGAAGAACATGGTGTACACATGCCACAGGGAGAAGAACTGCATTATCAACAAGGTGACTCGGAATCGCTGTCAATACTGCCGGCTGCAGAAGTGCTTCGCTGTGGGGATGTCCAAAGAGTGTGAGTGTTAAAAACCTTCATCCTACGCACACATACACCTCAGCTAAAGATTTTGTCCCATGAACAGATACATCTTTACACGCCTATCTATCAGCTTTTAAAGGGATAGTTCACCCAAAACTGAAAATTCTGTCATTAATTACTCACCCTTATGTCATTCCAAACCTGTAAGACCTTTGTTCATTTTCGGAACACAAATTAAGATATTTTTGATGAAATCCGAGAGCTTTCTGACCTTCCATAGACATCAACGCAACTGAAACGTTCAAGGGCCAAAAAGGTAGTAAGGACATCATTAAAATAGTCCACGTGACATCAGGGGTTCAACCGTAATTTTACGAAGCTACGAGAATACTTTTTGTGTGCAAAGAAAACAAAAATAACGACTATATTCAACAATTTCTTCTCTTCCGTGTCTCTGTCGCATGTTCACGAAAGTAGCGTTTCAGTTGCATTGCTGTCTATGGAGGTTCAGAAAGCTCTCAGATTTCATCAACAATATCTTAATTTGTGTTCTGAAGATGAACGAAGGTCTTACACTAAAATGTCACTAAAATGTGCCCCATGCCTTTGAGAATTAGGGCTTTAATTGTTTGGCCTTTTTATACCCAGTATAAATCAACTAATGCAAGTTTGTAGGGCTGCCCTACTCGTCTCTGACAGAAGAGGCTTAGTCGAATAAAATAATAAAATAAATTGGTTAGCCGCAGAAAAACAATTTGTGTCTGTGATGGACAGATTGTTATCGGCTGGTCCTTCAGGTAAGAACAGAATATCGGGCAGGAAAACCAAACATTCACTTATAATTGAAACATGTTAGTAGCAACTTACATGGGTGCTTGCTCTAATGTTAATTAGATAAATGTGCGCCATTAGCCTTATATCCAAGTATTTGTGCAGAGTGTGGAAGCTATTAGCTTGCTGTCGAAGGACATGGATGCGCTGGCGCAATCACTGGCTTTTACTTTCCAGATAACAATGGAAACAACTTCAAATTAGGATATACTGTACTTTCTGTTGTCTCTGTTTCCGTGAACTGGAGCTTGTCACAAAAATGAACCAAAAGTCACCGTATAGGCTACTTGCCTCACAGACATGAGAAATATATCTATAAAAAGCTTGAAGTGTCTACTTTAACCAATTCAAATAGAAAACAAATAGCTACTCTAGTTTAATCCGTATAAAGGGCATTTCTCTCTGAAGGCTGCGGAGATGGTGAGTCAGCATCATCAGCTTCATCTTTGCAGTCGACACTTACTGGGAAAACACTAGTTTATTACACTAGTTTATTAGTAAATAATTGAAATATCCCCTTGCTATTTTTCTAAACACATGGTCAATACTTTCGCCGGTGCATTGCGGCAAGCTTTATGCGTGTGCTTGAGCATGGAATAGGCTAAATTAAAGGCTCATTATGGTTTCGTTCCCCACCCCCCAGTATATATTTAATTCATTAAATTAATATACTGTAAATGTGTGATTAGTTGACTACTAGAAAAATCTTTAGTCGGGGGCAGCCCTAGAGATGAGATGTGTTGATAGCCATGTTTAGAGCACTGTCCGTATTGTCCCGTATTCCACCCCAATTTCATATGACTCCCCAATGAAACTAATAAATTTATTTGTGCATTTGTTATAAATAAGTCTTAAACCATTTAAAACAGTTATGTAATCCTAATTGGGAATTGTCTCATTGTGACATTAAAAGAACAACTGAGATCTCTTAAAAATTGAGTAAATGGAGACATCTCTTTCTTCTCAAATGTTACTCCTGAGAATAAGACCATATCAGTCTCACATTTGTCTCCTCTAGAGTTCCTAGAGGTATTTTAGTTATTCATGTTAAATTGTGATGGTTGGTTTGAAGCAAAGCTCAAGGTACCACTCAAAACCATTGCAACAAAGTCAATAGATTGGTTCAATTTAAAATATATCCCTCCAATCATTTAACTATTTTACATAACTAAAGAACATAACAAAAGTGAAAAAAACTGTGCAATAATTTTGCTCTAAGGTTATGAGGAAAAAAAGTAATTATTTGAACCTTGAGTTCCTCAAAGGAATCTGTCTGTGATGATTTCTTAGAGATGCATCATTGTCCCATTGATTGGGTATTTAATTAAACCCATATGTGTTCAATTGAAAAATGGGCAAAAACATGATAAAAATGTTGCACCTCAGCAGGACTTCAGTGATTCACTTCTTTCAGGAGTCCCACCGCAAATGTACCACCGTGGCATGTTGTACGCATCATTGCTTTAGATTCCAAACACCGCCGTTCAAGCCATCTGAAGCTGTTTGCATTTTACACATTATTACCATTGTTTGATTGCATCAGCACTTATGGTTCAAGTCGACTTCACACTCCATTTGCCGCAGGAAAAGAGGTGATTCTTTTTCACGCTCTTCTTCTGAACAAAAGAGCGACAAATGCAGCAATATCATGGTCGGCCCTCCATTTCTTGCTCTTTAACTTACCGTATGTAGTTGTCTCACAGAAGCGTGTGTGGCAGCTGTCTTAGTCATTGATGTCGATGAAGGACCTCAGTTGAATTTAAGAGCAGATCGTACCAAAATAAACGTTGGATACAAAAATTATAATTTTTGTATGCAAAAATATGTCAGACTGGCTGAACAAAAATACAATTTCACACTGACAGTAAAAATTGGCACTTATATAAAAGTAGAGAGAGCACATACACAATAAAAAGATTGGTTGCTACATCTGTTTCCTTTTTTTTTTTTTTTTAATTCTCATGTTTGTTCTTATTCCTCTGCTATTCACTGTCACTTAGCAAAATAGTGCCACCAAGTCGTAGTTTTATGCAACAACAGCATCTCTGGCACATGTCCTAAACACGACTCTTATTGGTTAGCAAGTTTTGTTTGCTGTGCATTGGAAAAGAGAATAAAAAATCTCTTTGTAAAAAAT